GAGAGAGAGAGAGAGAGAGAGGGAGGAGGAAGAGGAAGAGAGACAATACGCAAAAGTCAGCCTGGAAACATACCCAGTGGAACTCCCCAGGTATCATAGAAATGATATTTACCCGTTTCCAGCCTCTACCCAAAAAGTTTAGGCTCATCCTTATTTTGGATATCTGCCCCCTGACTATTAGCTCAGACAGTGTTTATCTTTTTGTGTTGCAGTCTTTTACTATCATATCTGACCGGGCAACGCTGGTTAGTTGGAATAAAGATGACTGACAGTTCTCAGTACTTGTTCTGACTTTATGAACCCTTAACCGGGCACAACGATGACGAGGCAAGACTCGTCAAAGCTGGTTATCGCATCTGCCGCAGGACGTACTAGGAGCAATAGCGAGCTGCTAATCGAGGACAACAATCACGAAGAGGCGGACACACTGCTGATCTACCATGCAGTGCTGGCATCACAGAGGAACCCACCTGATGCAGAGTTGGTTGTATTCTCCCCAGACACTGATGTTCTGGTGCTGGTCATAGCACATTATGACCTTCTGCTGAGAAACACCTCCATGTCGATGGCTTCCGGAGTGGTCCAAGTGCAGCCAATATGGACAGATCTAGGTCTAGAAAGAGCAAAGGCTTTGCCAGCCTTCCACGCATTCACGGGGCAGACAACACTGGGAGGTTCTCTCGCATAGGCAAGGCAACCTGGCTGCAAGTCTACCTCAAAGCAGGCGGAGAAGTGATCAATGCTCTGCAGATGCTTTCAGATGCCGCTAAAGTCACTGAAGAGTTGCTGTCAACGCTGGCTACATTCATTTGTGCTGCATATGCACCAAAGGGCATTCAGATTGCGAGCATCCCTGAGCTGCGATGGCATCTTTGTTGCAAGCATATGGCTGAAAGTGACAAGCTGCCTCCCACTCTTGGTGCTCCCAAGCAGCACATCCACAGAGTCCAGATCCAGGCCACAGTATGAGGTCAGGCAAGCATTGCTCAGCAGCAGTTACTGGATCCGCTGCAGCATGGCTTCTACAAGAACACAGCAGCTGATCAGGTGAAACCAATCACAACTGAGGTCCTTCCAGCCCCCAAGGCCATCATTGAGATAGTGAGATACCAGTGCAGAGCAGACTGTTCAACATCTCGATGCTCTTGCAGGTCCAATAACTTATCATGCACAGACCTCTGCCAATGCAGCACTCAGTGTCAGAATGATGAGGACTATAGGAATGACATGTTGCCGACCAGTGACAGTGATGATGATTATGTGTAAAGATTCTGCTATATATCACAGATTTTGCTATATCACACTTATTTTGTCATGCTATTATGATATTGAAGTTTAGTTGTGTGCAAGAAGCTGCCTAGACATGCTAGAGGTTTGACTTAATTGCTACATGTAGAAGTTCTGAGCCATTTAGAACATTTATTATAATAAAGTGAATATAATAATCTGCTTTGTGGTTATGTTTAACTTATTTTACTTTGTACCACTGGCTTCCTCACCCCTGAAAATGTATGTTTAGCAGTTAAAATCATGACTCTAGACCACCTGAATGCTGAGATATTGTGAAACACCCATTTTGAAAGTGGCCAATTTTGAAAATCCAAGATGGCCGCCTTGCATGCTTCCGGCAAATTGTAAACATTGGTTTTCTGATTGCCTATACTATACAGATTCCGAAAATGTATAGGTTTCCAAATCCCCCCAAAAAGTTCACGAAATTACACAGTGAACCTGACTAATTGATCGATTGATTGTTCAATTAAACAGTCGTTTAATCATTCAAACGTTCAATTGATCGATTGATTGTTCAATTGCCAAATTGCCAAATTGCCAATTTGCCGAATTGCCAAATTGAATCGCCAATTGACAAATCAAATAAAAGGCACGAATACTGAATAGGCGTATTGAATCATGGAATGGAGCAATTGTCGAGGCTCGTCAATCGCCAAATCAAACGTATACCTA